TCATTTATTTCTAGTATTAATATGTCTTCTATACAACAATATGCACTACAGAAATTAAACAATGTGCCATATTGTTAGCGCAAGGAACGATAGCCTCGCTTTGAAGTCGTAATGGCGAAAGAGTGATATATGCCTATGTTTACGGTAGCACTGTAGCAGGTCTAGCCTCGTTTCGAGCTGGCGCATTGATATCGTGAATCCTTCCTATACTTTTTGATTAAATAAAGTAACATATACGGAAATGAACTGCTACACATGTATTCTTTTATTCCATTCGAACACAACTTATCTAAAACAAACTTTGTTATAAGGTAATTTATTTTTAGTATTAATATGTCCTCTATACACCAATATGCACTACAGAAATTAAAACTACCATTGTTATTTGAGGCGGTTCGTTTTTTCTTGTTTTTAGATATTTGATTTTAAGTTCCCAATGAAGGAATTTCAAGTAAACAAAAGGAATATACAGATATTTATAGTTACCCTATGTTATATACATTAATATTCGTAGTTGTTGACAATGAAGTACAACATACCAATACTAAGGGTTTTTAAATAGTTTCGTTAAATAAATAATGACAATATTAGCAAGTAGTTTTACAGAAAACTTAGTTTATTTATACTATTTTTGATTACGTTTCGAACATGTACCCTTCTTCAGGCTTAGTTAGCCAGTGTTTTTACAAAGTAGGTGATTCTAATAACTGATGTCCTTTTTTTTTCAGACGTACCGTACCTGGTGTCTCTACTGTTTCCTTAACATTAACAGCACAGTACGGGTCTTCTATTTCTGAAGTCGAACCGTCAGTTACCTCGTCTCCAAACTCCACTTGAACTAACTTTACTCGTATAAAGCCTTTCCCCGCCATTTTTCTCTAAGTCACGTGATACTAGAAGCCTTGTCGCTGGCTGTCCTAAACGAAAGTCAATACAATTAATTATAATCGTCCGTCATTAATAGTAGACCGATTATATTTTTTAACACTGCATTCTTTATCTAGCCCCCTACGAAGTTTCAGAAATCAAAAGTGTATATCAACAGTGTGTAGCGGGCGTTAAAAGGGCAAAACTCATTGAGATAACAAAAGGGCACTTTTCAGGCAAAAGTTTTTTGTTTTTTTTTGGTACACAGGGTAGAGAAGCACACAGATTCCATTTTGTTCCTATTCAATTGGTCTTATAAACATTTTAAACTAAACAGCGAATTATTGTGTATTAACATTGAACAGTATATCATAATTATGTATTTATTATAAAGACTACAAAGCCGTGTGCAACATTCATGTTGAAGTTGGAATATTTTTGCTTTCCTAACTCGCTGCAAGCAAGCTGTAATCAATCGTGCCTTTTAGTAATTTCTTTTTGACTGAGAAAAGGAGCACTTTTGGGGTATAAGAGGAAGAAGGCAAGGGCTTTAGCCCACACCCCTGTGTACGTCATTAGGGTGCATAATAATAGCATTCTAATTATACTATGTATACTCATCAAGCAAGACGGGACACAACAACAACAGTGGAAAGACGACATTTTATTTCGGTGAAAGACTGGTGGTACACCCTCTCTTCAGCCAGGAGATGCGACTAAGAAAGGAGAAGAAAAAAGATGGATAAGTAAGATAGAAACTAGAAAGTGGATGGAGGAAAGGAGCTGGGGGCGTGAAATAAAGGAGAAAATCTGGAACGTTTGAAGGAGGATGAATAAGAAAGAGTAGAAAAATATGATATGGAAACAAATCATAACAGCTAAAATGATATCACACGGAGATCAGCCCTTATCAGTGGTGCTGTTCTGGAGTCCGTGAATCAGAAGAGAAGATAGAAATCATAGAATTCAATACGCCACAATACCGGTCGGAATACTATTTATATAAGCCAATTGTTACAATAAGAATTATGGTGTGAACGCCTTCTACAAACTGGCCAAGCGTGATTATATATTAATTACACTTATCAGGCATTAATATTAGATCTATTACAATTTTAAAACTACATTCTTTAACTAGATTCTTAGGGATTTTCAAGAATTATTAAAATGTATGATAATAGTATTCCAACCGCGAACATCTATGTTTGCCGTATCGGTCGCCGACGACAAACATTTACTAGAAAAAACGTCACCTAGTGGCAATTGCAAAATTAGGAAAGGAAAAATAAATTAAATATACAGAGGACAAAAATAGCTGTAGTTGTTGAAAGTGATGAATTTGGACCTCATCAACGTGGTAAGCAGCTGGTTGTAAATTACCCTCTACAGTGCCCAAAATGCGAGCTATAATTAATATAATATGATACCATTTGGCACTACAACAGTGTGTAGGCCTTTTTCAACCACGTGAAGAATGATTATAATTATACTTGTCATAAGGCATTAGTATTAGGCCTCACGAACGAAAGGATCCTCGGTCGTAATTGTATTTACACAAGATCAAATACGAACTTAATCACTGACAGTTTGTTTCTGATGAGAAAGGTTTATCTTTCGATATTGCTTGAGTTACAGGGTTTTTTATTTTTAATCATAACATTAATAATTATATTCGTCAAAAGACATTAGTATTAGACTTATTACGTTGTTAAAGACTACACTCTTCATTTAGTCCCTTAGGAATTTTTAAGATCTAGAAGAATGTATCCTAATAGTGTTCCGACCACTGCTGTGTTTGTCTAATTCCAGCTGACCTGAATAGATCTGGATTCAGCGAAACGCGTCGTCGGCAATAAATATGATAAACATATAGTATAGTTGGAATACTATCATTAGAAGTTTTTGTTTTGTGGCCTTTACCGAGCCATACCTATATTTACAAATCGGGCTTAGTTTCCTGTGACGTCATGGATATGTTTGATTTGTATTTGTGGAGGCGTCAACTACTTATCGGTAGGTTGTGTATGTAATCCCTATACAATACTGCTTTCCCTGAAACCTTGGAGTGCACGTGGATATTTCCAGAAAATTGGGCTTTATGTTCATTAACCCTATACGTTCCAGCTTGGTTTGGTTTCTATTTTTAGCACAATGTTACAAAATGGGCTATATGCACGGTATCTACCTCAGATATCTAACAATGAATTTTAGCCTTATAAGCCCTGAAACTTACCACTGAGCCACCACAGGACTATACATTCCATAAGAAACAAGACGGAATCTTCAATAGCCGCGGCACTTGAAATCCTTTTAGGCAGGATTAGAGCAAATTAATTCATGAGACTTTTTTTTTTCCTTTTATCAGCTGTATTTTTGTGCGCCAGTAATATCAAGCGTGGGGCGCGCGTATACCCGATTCGACCTTATTACTCATCAGAATTTATACCAGCCTACCCTGAAATTGAAATTCTTTTAGAGAGGATTAGAGTATATTAATCTATGAGACCTTGGGCGTGATCAAGTTTATCAATCGAAAGGGTTTGACCTCCTGAATCCAAAATTGTAATTAGATCTCACATCATTAAAGAGCTATGAGCTAAAAGTTTGTAATTGAAAAACAAAAAAACTCAGAGCCATTCTATAAGCCACCGATTAAAATGTCGTGACATTTTTCTGTGAAAATATACCGAAAAGGGACGTGTAACACAGATATTGCATATTTGGATAATTTTCTTGTTGAACTGATGTTTTGATTAATACACAGCTGTTTCTAAACTGCACGCACGGAAATATATAATTAGCATATTTTAACATATTGTTACGTATCTGCTTGTTTGATAATTTCCCGTAAAATTTCTTTCCGAGAAACTTTAGCGACACAAGTCCTTTCTTAAATAAAACGAATTTATTCTTTCTCAATACAACTTTGCAATACACTGAATTTCTACAGTCACTTTAACTTCAACACACGTATAATTCACAACGATTCACGCACTTTACTTAAGGTGCCTACAGCT